GACACGCTGTTTTTAGAATGATAGTATTTTATATGCAAAGTAGTATTCTTTTCATCCAACCGATGAGACACATGGTGATTAAACAGGTGAACTTTTAGTACGCTCGATCTAACAAAGTGACACGCTGTTACTGGAATGACTATAATTTTTGACACGTTTCGCATTATTTTAACGGAATACAAGTAAATTTGATGCAAACCACCAAATCGGCCGCAAACAAAATGTAGCATTTAAAAAAAAGTATTTTCACAAGTAAGCTTTCAAGGAAAGCGCAAGATATTCAAAGCTGAAAGAGTTAACATTTTTATTTCAGGATAGAACCTCGTCTCCCCCCCCCCCCCCAACACCCCCGCCCCCGAAAAAAAAGGAAGAAGGAAAGATAAAAAAAAAATTGTAACAAAAAGGAAATCTACAGATGAGCCACGTGCTGATAGCCAAATCTTTGTCACGTGATCATGCCGATGATTCCTGCAGACTATGCAGCATGGCGCAGTGATGGACATCACAATAAATGAAAAGTGTAGAAAAAATATCCTAGTTTTATTCGCAGCTGAAGCATATACAAAATCATTTTTACTAGTTTAACAAACATTTCATTTTTTAAATTCATCACTTTTACAATGTACAACTGTAATTATTATCCGGAAAATCATAACGATTTGTGTTCACATTTTATACTCTCCCATGTCGGGGAGTACCTATTGTAAACCCATTTTATATAATCATAAATTAATAATTATCTGATGAAGAACGAAAATTGAAAAAATAAATAATAACAACATCTAAGACTTTATTCGTATCACGTTTTTAAAATATTTTACTCTAATTTTAATACATGTTACCATCAACGAATTAATTTACCAAACTAAAAAAGAAATTACACCTCATTTCCCCATGCGCACTTTCTAACAAAATCACAAATAGATCGGCCGCTCCTGCGGCCGATAATGAAACAAATATATATCCTTAAAAAATGATGAATAGGAAAAATCGTCATCTTCTACTCCGAGTTCTGGGTATCTAAGTTCTAGGGAATTCATTCATTGTGTTCTAGAATAGTGTTTTAAGAACTCAGCAGTAAGTCTATTTTTCAATTTTATTTGAATTAAATATTGAAAAAAAGGTTACTTGCCAACAGTGAAGACAATCAATAATCCTAGAAATGCATACATGATCTAAAAAAAACCCAAAATTTTCAATCAGTATTCTTTCCCTGTAGATGGTTAATCGGAGATCTTAGGTTAAAACGTCTATCAAGGCACGGTCAATATCAAGTTCTCTGTAGAACAAGTTTCTATGTTATCTTTACAGAAAATACAGGTGTATTCACGGGCATTTATCATGCTTACCTTAGTAAAATTATAAATACATTGAAATTTTATATCTAAAATAATAAAATTTTCTGAAACAATATCCTTTTATACTAAGAATTTTTCATGTATATTTTTATTTAACTTGCTGTGTAATGCTTAACTGACATAAAATCATGCAAGAAAGCTAAGAGTAGACTACAAATTTAAAGTATTCGAAGTTAGGTCAAAGTCCCCAAGGAATGTTTTTCTTTTAAGGAATGTTTTTAAGTTTTGTGTGAGTTATTGGTGTGTAAATCTTGTCACGTAGGCATATTTCATGAAGCGCGCTAGTGCTTCATAAAAAATAATGTATGCCTAAGTGCAAGTCTTAAAACATTCCTTATATTTACATTTTACAAGTTTAAAAGCACCAATAATATACTCAATATTTGAATTTCTTGCTGCCCTATATCGTTACATTTTTATTTACGTCTCTGTAGCCTGTGACGTCACTTTAGCGCGAGTTTCACCGTGTATATTTCTACGCTTGAGTATACACAAAAATGACTTTCAAATCAATTTCACAGTTGGCTTAGTAGAAAAACACAGCAAATGTAAATATATCTAATTATTAAACGTATAATCCAACTCTAACATCTTAAAGGATATTGTATTTCTTTAGCTTTCCCATAGTACTATTTTTCTGAAATTATGTTTTCATTTGAATTTCAATTAGAATTTCACTCTTTTAACGATTAAAAATATGCTTAAAAGCTAAATGATGCATATTGCTGTTTATCCATGTTTAGAATATGATATGTAGCATAAAATACTAGACATATAACGGTGAAGCTAATGAACAGTGATCAATCTCATATATCAATTGAAGAATATGAATTGTGAACAGGCCAAAATACAAACTCTTGAAAACACCAGAGAGGTGATCAGGTGCCTAGGAGGAGAAAACTTTCCTTATTGACTGGTCACACCCGCCCTAAGTCCTCTGTATTAATTGATAAACTAAAGTTAGTCAAAATGGTATAAAAACAATGTCCTATCATGCGTTGGAAAAAATGTCAATCAAAACATGACTTAACGGTTAGTTGTATTTGCAAGCAATGACATTATAACGACCAATAGAATTTGTGAAATGCCGACTTTAAACGGAGATAGCTGAAATCCCTGCATCATCATATTCTTTGTCATAAACCTGTCTCTGTTTAAAATTAATCACACTCAGAATATGTTCTTGAAAATCGAATCAGTTGAGAGACATAAACACCATATTTAAGTGACTGTGGAATATTGTTAAATAAATACAAATTTATTTATATCATAAAGCTTTGTTGTTAGCTAGATTACCATTGACGTCTTTTTCTAGGAAAATATCCAAATATGAAACAGATGTGTCAGACTTTGTGGTACCTTTCATTTCAAGCTCACTGGAATATATCGTGTCGACATACTATTAAACAGAAAACGGAAATCTTTTATAACTACTGTAAATCGATTTTTTTTATCTCTGATTTGAAGTTATTTTATTGTTTACAAACTTTCACAAATGGGATTGGACCAAAGCTTAAAAAAATATTAAGCCTTTTCCTTATATGTTTAGAATGATATTTTTAAAAAAAGTCTTTCTACAAGACAAATATTTATTATGTCTATACTTCCTGTATAAAAATTATAAGTATTTCTTTCGCTTTAATGTGTATTATTTCTCCAGAATGATTTACCTGGAATTTATTTGGACCTTTTGCATCTTTTCAACTGTAATATCAGACAGTAAGTTCAATTGTTAATCATATTCCTTTCATGTATCAATGCATGGTATTTTCATTATAAAAGGTAAGCTATCATAATGCTTTTAAAATATTCTGTGTGTCCCAAGAGAGTTCTTACTGTGCAACAAACAATACATATATGTTACGAATGGTTTACACTAAGATATATCCACAAGTAATCTGAAACATGAATTGAAATGGTCTCACATTAATATACTAAGATCTGTATGTGACATTAAAACTGTGTTTCAAAAAACTTACAATAGGTAACACGTGGTAAAGTAAAATTCTAAAAGCTGAACTTTATACTTCAGTTTTTGTCAGGTACTACTAATTAAGAATGTTATGCTGGAAAAGAACGATCAAGACTTTTTTTCATTTAAGGGTCTCCCTTCATTTAAGGTGATATTTAAGAAATGGCTAAAATTGGATGGGCTCACTTGAAAATATTTTCTACATCATAATGACCAGAGGGTAAACTACTTAATCGCTTTGTTAACAATTTGGTCATACATTAGAACAGAGTCATAAAGTTACTTTCAGGCAAGCAAATAAATCCGGAGAGTGGTATCACATTGTCAAACTGGTGATATCATGGACATTTCGATGGCAAAGATAACAGACTTAGAAATTACTTTAAAACGCTACAGTTTTGGTCTGCTTTTAATATGGTTTGGCATACAAGAAGACAATTCCAAGAAACACATTTTAATGCATCGGTTTTTGATTTTGATGAACAGTGTTGCCATGGTTACTAAAATATTTCTGTGAATTTCCTTTAAAACGTTACTCCTCCTACAGTTTTGGTCTGCTTTTAATATGGTTTGGCATACAAGAAGACAATACCAAGAAACACATTTTAATGCATCGGTTTTTGATTTTGATGAACAGTGTTGCCATGGTTACTAAAAATATTTCTGTGAATTTCCTTTAAAACGTTACTCCTCCTACAGTTTTGGTCTGATTTCAATCTAATTTAGCACACAATTATAATACACTACGATACATAATATGTATTTCGGTTTTTGATTTCAGTGAATGGTGTTGTCATGGTTACTTAAAATAGAAATTTCTGTGAAATACTTTCAAAACGCTTCTCCTCCTAGAGTTCTGGTCTGATTTCAATATTACTTGGCACAGAAGTAGACTACACTAAGATACATAATTCTATTTATTAATTCATGTTGCAAAGTTTCAAGTGCTACTTTGTTATACGTACAGACCAGTAGAGCTACAGTCTCATTAGAGACTTCTGGTTTATGTATTCTTGATCATTGCAACCTCTCATCCTCTGCTGAAGGATTTTGAAGACATTATGTCTTTTGAATGTGTTATTTATTTAAATAAGAAAGGTTATAATCAACCAATTGTACAGTTTGAGAAGTTCCTCACCAATATCAATTGCTGTATGTGCGAAATCAGTATCTACATCATATATTAAATAATCGGTACCTTATTTCGTGGCTAATATTTAAGCAAGATTTAATTATAGCTAATTTATTACCCCCAACATATTTTATCTTAATTATCTATTTTCTATACTTGAAACGTCGGTGATGACTTACGATTTGTTTTAGAAATGAAAATTAACTGCATTTAAGTATCGACATTTCCCGTATTGAAGCTTCTTTGTTTTGCACACATCGAAATAATCACTACTTGTAAGACATCGAGATAATCACAACGTCTTAGACATGTCCACAATACCTGAAATATTATTGTGTACAAAAATCATGCATATTCAAAAAACAAAACAAAAAAGATGCCGTTTTTTAAGACAGCAAATCAGTAAAACTTCGATGTATAAATCTCCTTTACTTCCTCGCTCATTGTAAAGCCAAATCAGGACAGATACATATACAAGCATAAACCCTTTCGGTCTTTGCCTAAAGGAAAATTGCTTTAATCATAAATTTTAAGCAATATGAGTATTTGTTACATTGCAGCTATTCCATCGTTACCCCCGAGTCTAGATCCAGATCTCGGCATGAGAATAAATTCCTATGCTGATAATTTTGTCAGACATGTCTATGAAGGCGATTTAATGAAATTCAGGTGTAGCGTATATCCCATGGGAAATCCTCCAATCACGTGGACATGGTTTTGTGGTGACGAACAGATGAGAAATGTAACATTTGAAAGCTCTTATACTTACATGACTTTCACGGCAAATTGGCATCATGACGGGAAATCTTGTTTTTGTAGAGCGAAATCACGTTCGACTGTTTTATTTTACGACTACCCATCTCGTTATCGTTATGTGATGCGTGTTTATCGTAAGTATTTGATTACATCACTCATTCTTACTAATCTGTTAATTTTTATAAATAAACACACACATACATATTCATCTGATTTAAATGCAGTTCTTTGTGTATGGATGCAACAGGTTTTTTTTTCAAAAACAAGACTTTGCTGTGTTTCCCTCAAGAATGTTGTATCACCTATGGGAGCGGGTTTTTTTTTAAAATTTTTGATTAAAAAAACTTCCTGTTTTTAGCGTAACATAAGGAAGAATATTAATAACATATATTACTTTATAACATGCTGGTTGATCTTTGATGGACCACATCTGCATATTTAATGCCAATTCTCATAATTATAATTATGCTTAAATGCACAGAAAGATTCATTGAGTAATACTTTCAGTGGCCATGGGACTATGTTGAAAATTAAAGATCTGGGAAAAAAGAATTATCTGCTTTAACTACTGCATATTGAACATGAACTTTCTGAATTAGGACACAATGCGTAATAACGTCTATAACCTATGTTGACTTTTGCAAGATTCACCCAAGGCACGACCTATGATTTATCCCTTGTCTCCTACAACTGTACAGAGTGGTGAATACATAAACATAAAGTGTAATCTCACAACATTGGGATATCCACAAATAAGCTGGAGATGGATCTGTGACAACATTGCACCGCAGAATGGAGTGGACATAGGAACAGAGACTTACCTAGAAATCAAAGCGACTGCACGTCACAATAGGAAGGTTTGCAGATGCAGAGGAATATCTCCCTCTATCTATGTATACGACGAAGTTTCAGATCCAGTCATCATCACCGTTTTCTGTAAGAATCATTGAAGTAATGTGGTCTTTATTTTTTGAATATTTTGTAATTTTAACAGATATAAAGAGATATTATACATTATTAAAAGAACGTGTTAGTAAAGATTGATTGATTGATGATTGTTATTGTTAAATGCCGAGTCGGCAATTTTTCAGCCATATTTCGGCGACGTTCGTAAGGAAAGATTTAATGAATATTAATGATTGAAAGAACTCAAATGACCATAAGTGACAGAAGTGGAACGAATAGATGAACACGCTGAATATCAGAAAAGAATTCTTAGTTTTGTTTCTCAAAGTCATGTATATTCTAAATTCATAAGTATTCATAATACTATAACATATTAATAATATTTTTGCATTAAATTCATTCAGCGACAACTGATGTAGACTCTCAAGGCATGAGAGATGCAGCTAAAGCTGGTGAAGAAACTCAATGTATAACAGCTGCAGCATTTGGAACAACTACTGGGTTACTGGTGGCTTTCATCGTTGTGTTAAGCATTGTTCTCCTGATACAGTGTATGAGAAGAAGAAAGGGAAACTCTTGTTCTGGTGGAAATTCTGGTGAGCCTTTCAAGATAAAGGGAACAAGAGGCCCATGGGCCACATCGCTCACCTGAGCACAGTGGATAGGCAAAAGCACAAATCAGTTCAGTATTGAAAAGATTCCGGGGGGGGGGGGGGGCTTGAATTTTAAACTACCTGATGATGCTTCCATGTCAAAATAACAAATGGCTTTGTTGTACTTGAAAAGATTTTAAAAAAATTTTCTGATATATTCCTTTGTAAAAATTTGATCCCCCCTTGTGGCTCCTCCCTATCCCAGGGGTCATCATTTGAACAAACTGGAATCTACACTACCTGAGGATGCTTCCATATCAATATGACTAAACATAGCTTTTCTGTTCTTGAGAAGAAATATTTTTTCTATATGTTCTTATGTAACATTCGATCCTCCATTGTGGCCCCGTCCTACTCTCGGGGGTCATCATTTGAACAAACTTGAATCTACACTACCTGAAGATGCTTCCATATCAATATGACTAAACATAGCTTTTCTGTTCTTGAGAAGAAATATTTTTTCTATGTGTTCTTATGTAAAATTTTCTATCCCCCTATTGGGCCCCACCCTACCCTCGGGGGTCATCATTTGAACAAAATTGAATTTACACTACCTGATGATGCTTCCATATCAAAATGACTAATCATGGCTTTGCAGTTCTTCATCAGAAGAAATCTTCCTATATATTTCTATTTCAGACTTTGATCCTCCATTGTGGCCCCACCCAACCCCAGGGGGGCAACATTTGAACAAACTTGAATCTACACTACCTGAGTATACTTCCACATAAATATGATCAATCAGGGCTTTGCTGTTCTTGAGAAGAAGATTTTTAAAGATTTTTCCTATATATCTCTATGTAAAACTTTTATCCTCCTTTGGGGCCCCACCCTACCCCCAGGGGTCATGATTTGGACACACTTAAATCTATACTACCTTAGGATGCTTCCATATCAATATGATCAATTAGGGCTTTGCTGTTATTAAGAAGAAGATTTTTAAAGATTTTTCCTATATATTTCTATGTAAAACTTTGATCCTCCATTGTGGCCCCGCCCTACCCCCGGGGGTCATGATTTGAACAAACTTGAATTTACACTACCTGAGGATGCTTCCATATAAATATGACTCATCATGGCTTTGCTGTTCTTGAGAAGAAGATTTTTAAAGGTTTTTCCCCATATATTTCTATGTAAAACTTTGATCCTCCATTGTGGCCTCGCCCTACCCCCGGGGGTCATGATTTGAACAAACTTGAATCTACACTACTTGAGGATGCTTCCACATGAGTTTCATCTTCCCTGGCTTTGTGGTTCTTGAGAAGAAGATTTTTAAAAGATGCTATTAATTTTTCACTAATTCTTTATTATCTCCCCTTGAAAGAGGGCGTGGCCCTTCATTTGAACAAACTTGAATCCCCTTTACCCAAGGATACTTTGTGGCAAGTTTGGTTGAAATTGGCCCTGTGGTTCTTGAGAAGAAGTCGAAAATGTGAAAAGTTTACAGACAGACGGACGGACAGACGGACAGACGGACTACAGACAAAATGTGATCAGAAAAGCTCACTTGAGCCTTCGGCTCAGGTGAGCTAAAAAGTAGTTTGAAGAATACCAACACTTCTTTAAGAATTATAATAATAATGTTTGTAACCATATTCTGTTTTCAATATACATACATTTTCATTACATACCAAACTAGGCATCACCCAATTTTACTGTTGATTTCACTTCATAACCTTATCACTTTCCGGATCACCGCACTATAGTTTTCTGAATCCATATCATATCATATCACTCTGAAACTGATGACGTAGTACATGTCATATAGACGTTTTTTTTGCGTATCAAAAACCTCACTGAACATGCGTTTTTTTTTTTTTTAAGATAAATGTATATTTACTACATTTCACTACAGTTAAAATAGAGGGGTATACAATAAATTTATCACTATAACAGTAATTTGTTCTGAAAAGTCAGATCGCATCTCGTTCATGGGCGCGGATCTTTAAATCAAACTCGACTCTTCGCGTCTAGTTTGATTTGATGATTCGGCGTGATCTGGTTCTTCGTATCAAGTTACTGTTATTTGAGAAATTACTGTATACTTTGTTGGGTATGCTAGGGCATAAATGTCAGTTGTGGGACAATTAATATATATGCATAGCTGGCGAACAAACTAGATATTGGTACATATGGAATACATGTGGCATTCCAGAATGCAATGTACAATCCTTCGAAGTTTTAACAACTTTGGCTGAGCAGTCTGAGAAAATGAAATTAAGAAAAAAATCTAGTTTGTCTGTTTCCATGGAAACGGTTTTCATTTAAAAAAAAACATATGTAAATGGTACATCTAGAATTGGTGATTATCATTTCTGTGAAGTTTCTTTAAAATTCTCCCAGCCATCTGCGAGAGCATTTGCGAACATAATTTTAGGTCTATATATTGAATAACAAAATGTCCCCGACTTCTTTCGGGGCAACATATATAACAACATAAATTTAATCAAATGTTTCAACAGTATACATTGAGGTACATTTCAGCAATGAATGACCAGGTAATTATGTAATAATTAAATAATGACAGGTATTAACGCAAAATTTCGCAATTTAATGATAGCAAAAGGGGTGTATTTTGCCATTTCTCAAAATGTTACCCACTAAAATGCAGAGAATATATAAATTAACCAAAATTTCGGCTTATCTTTCATTCATCATGAATATATTATTGTTCGTGTGGCGAATGTCTTTCATAAGATAACATTTCAAAATTTCAGGGAAAATTGAAGATCAAAAAGAAAGGTATACACTCTTTAAATCTATACTGTTCTTTTAAAAATAGAATTAAACTATCATTTGTTAAATTTTTTTTACTAATTTTGGATTATTTTCTGCATTCTTGTTGATTTGTAACAGTGAAAACAAAAGTCAACAAAACCCTTTGTATGTCAATGATGAATCTTACGAAGTACTTCAAGTTAACAAAGGTGGGTGAATCTTTTAGGAACATGTACAATTTTATATATTTTACAAGTATAAATTATTTGTGAATAAAATATTCTTAACACTTTACTTGAACGTTAAATTTAAAGAACATTTTCTATTCATTACAATGAGTGGAAACACTAATTACTTTGATAATCGTCCATTTCAGACCGCATATAAACAAATGACGAGGCATCTCATACCGGAAAAAATGACTCGAACAGATTTTATGGTTCAAAAAACAACGTCGTTAAGCATCCTGAAAGAAAAAAGTATTATCCTTTGTGTGTATTTTGCTGTTTATCATTACCTTGTAAACGTTATTTTATAATTTCCGTATTTTATAATTCTTCAAAAGAATGTGTGTATATACTTTCTTTTCCTTCGAATCAAACTGCACGAATACTAGAATCAAATGTTATCAGTTTTATATAATGTGAAATCTTGTTTTCGTGGGGTTTAATTTCCTTGATATGAACAGACCCATGTATTCAATGTCTTCCTGAAAATGTAAAATTTTAAAATTACAGTATCATATTTTTGTCAACCACGAAATCAAGAACATTTTACCACATTAAAATAAGTGATTTCACACTAATCCAAGCTGATTTTAAGCAAAAAATATAAAAATTAACTTATTTTTGTACGAAATTTTGCTGAAGAAAGGCTTTAACATAAATATGTATAATAATTCCTTAAGAATTTCAACAGGTTAAGAATCATTAATATGTCTACTGCTTATATTGCAAGACTTTAGTTATGCTTGAATTTAAAAACTAATGATTTTTCCTATGTTGACTGAATAAACTGATGTATGAAATTTCAAATGCATGTTCTTTTTTTTTTTTATCAATAACAATTATATAATACTAGGGAATATGTGCAGATATAAATTAAAAAAAAAACTTGATATTTTTGTCCAAGAAAGAAACAAGAGCCCATGGGCCACTTTGAATACCTGAGCACATTGACCACGAAGAAGCAGAAATCAGAGTGCTGGACTTTAATTTACACTACATCAGGATGCTTCCATATCAATTGTACTAATCATGGCTTTACTGTTCTTGAACAGAATTTTAACCCCCCCCCCCCCATTTTTTTCTATTTTTTTTCCTATGTAAAACTCGTATCTCTCATTGTGGCCCCACCCTACCGGTCCTAAATTTGAATCTGCACTACCTAAGGATGCTTCTATAATAATATGACTAATCTTGTTTTGCTGTTCTTAAGCAGAAGTTTTTTTTTTCAAAATGATTTCTATATATCCTTATGCAAAACTTTCTGTTGTGTCCCCAAGCCCCGGGGGTCATGATTTGAACAAACTTTTACAATACCTAAGGTTGCTTCTGTATAAATATGACAAGTGGCTTAGTTGTTCTTGAGAAGAAGATTTTATAGATATTTCCTATGTAAGGTGTATGATCAGGTTCTTTCAAGGGATACATAGGTTTTCCTTTTACTCTGTGAGTTGATGATTGGAATGATTATTAAGAAACCTCTGTCTGAGGGTATATTACAAAGATTTTAAACTTAAACTTTCTCTTGTCTAGAGATGGGTACAGGGTAAAGTACGACTTGCATCAAGTTGCTTCCCTAGGTTCCCATTGATAAATAAGTTCCAGGTGTCTCAATCTTCTTCAGATTTACTACACCCAGAACTTAACATCAGTTCCTTATGATACTTGCCACTGGTGTTAATAACTTTGTATACTTTTATTTTGCTCTTACCCTTAAGGTTCTCCATCCATAATAGGACCAAATTTTCTACCCTTAAATGTCCATCAATTCATAATACTCTGACATTAATATTAAAGCATTTTACAGTAAAAAGGATTTACCAAGAGAGAATTTCAAAAATGGTATTAACTATGTAGTAATTTCAAAATTAAGAAAGATTTCATTAAAGTCTATGGGGACAAGCGATTTAAAAAAAAAACAAAAATTCAAATCATAAGAATATAAATAAATACTTCTTTTTTACCGGATAAGTTTTTTTAAAAAATTAATTCTTTTATTAATTAAAAACAGATGGAGATAACTCTTACCAAAATACAAAGTAATGTATTAGGACAGATCCCACACTTGCATGGTAATAGTAATAAATGGAAATTATGTCTAAATATATACTTTTCAACGCCTATACATCTTTTATATATTCAATTTCACCTTACATCTATATATTCCTAAGTAAAATTTTGACCCACTGTTTTGGACCCGTCCTACCCCCGGGGTCATAATTTGAACAAACTTGAATCTACACTACCTGAAGACACTTCTATATTAATATGACTAATCTTGGCTTTGCTGCTCTTGAGAAGAAGATTTTTAAAGACATTTCCTATATATTCCTATGTAAAACCACTCATGTGGCCCCGCGCTACCCCCTGGAAGTCATTATATGAACAAACATGAATCTAGGTTATGTAATGTAGCTTTCACATAAGTTTCATCTTTTCTTGATCAGTGGTTCTTGAGAAGATTTTTTTTAAAAGATGCCGCCAAATTTTCGCGAATTCTTCATTATCTCCCCTTGGAAGAGGGCGCTGCACTTCCTGTGAACAAGCTTAAATTCCCTTCACCAAAGGATGACAATTTGAAAAAATATTAACTAATCTTTGTCTATGCCCCTTTAACTTTCAACAATGCGTATGGAAGCTTTAATACTCCCAAGCATATTGTAGGTGTCGATAATTAAGAGTTTTAAAGTTGATGGTGAAAATACGATTGACATCGATTTGTATTAAACTTCAACAAAACTAAGGGCTTCCAGTGAGAAGCCATCCAAAAAATGGAGAAAGATCAAGAAATTTCACTTCAGCAGAATCTAAAAATTCAAAGAATAATAAATACAAACATTGCTCAAAGACAAATGGAAAAAGATTTAAAGAGTAGATTATAATTCTTATTTTGTGCATGAAAAACTTATGTACAAAGTAAATCTTAAGACAGACTAAAAGTTAATATTGATAGCTTCTCATGTTGATCAGGGAATCTTTTGAATCCTAGCTTGACAGTGATTAATGAGGAGCTTATTAGCCACAACGCTCACCTGAGTAACTGGCCCAGCAGATTAAAAAAAAAATCCTTTTTTTTTAATTTCAATAATATTTTTACTTCACATTGTGGACAAAATCTAGACCTAAAATAGTCACGATTTTTAAATCAACACAGCATATGGATGCTTCAATATCAATACTATTAACATGGTCCTGCTCTTTTGGAGAAGACTTTTTCCAGTACACATGCATTTTTTATAACCCCAGAGCTAATAATTAAGAAATATACTCTGCACATCTTAGGTATGTTTTACTTATAAGTTTTATTGTGATCTTGCAATTCTTTTCAAAGATTTCGTACAGTGTACCCCCTTGTAAAACAATGATCCCTTTGTGTAGTCAATCTATTCTTGAGGGTCCTGATCTGAATAAACTTAAATCTAAACTACTTGAAGGCTCTTGAATATCTATATGCCTTAACACGGCTTTATTTGGAGCAGAGAGAAAAAACACCTCCCATATTTTCTATGGAAAACTTCGTACTTATATTATAACCCGACCCTTCTCCTTAGGGCATTGATTTTAGCAAGCTCTAATCTACACTACCTGGGGATGATTCCATATTAATATGACCAAAAATGGCTTTGTTGTTCTCCAGAAAAATAAATGTTTTAAAGATTTTTTCCCAATCCATTCCCATGTAAAACATTGATTACTAATGGGGACCACCCTTGCCCTGGAAGTCATAATTTGAACAAATTTGAATCTATATTACATTGGTGTGAATCTATGTAAATATGAAAAATCGTAGCTTTGTTGTTAGAAAAAAAATGTTTTCCTATACATGTATATTCGTATGTAAAACTTTGCTTGTGGCCCCACCCTACCTCGGGGATCATGATTTGAACTATTATGACCCCATCCTGCCCTCGGGGTTATAATTTTGTCAAACTTCAAAACTACCTGAGGATGGTTCCATTTAAATATGTCTGTTCATGGCTTACTGTTCCCGAGAAGGGGATTTTTAAATATTTTACTGTGTATTCCCGTGTTAAACTTTAATAGCCCAAGCGATATGTGATGCAACTTTCACATAAGCTTTAAATTTTCTGACTCAGTGATTCTTGAAAAGATTTTTAAAAGATGATTTTCACTAGTTAAGTTATCACTAATTCTTAATGATCCTCCTTTTAAAAAAAGGCGTGAGCCTTTATTTGAATAAATTTTAATCTCATTCACTTTTTTTGCAAATTTGGTTGTAATTGGCTCAGTGGTTCTGGAAAAGAAGTCGAAAATGTGAATTTTTTTAGACCACAGTTTCTGCTTGAATCTTCGCTCCGATAGGCTATTCCAAACTTAAGCATTAAAAAATCAAAAACAAATACATAAATTACTTCATTTACTCATTCGTTGATAAATAGATGTTACTTATGTTGCAGCTATCCCATCATCAGTTCCCTTTTTATCCATCTACTCCAGCGGCATGCAACTTAATTCTTACAGTAATAATTACATAAGGTATATTTATGAAGGCAGTTTGATGAAATTCAGCTTGGTTTTGTGGGGAAGAGGTGAAGAAAACATAACATTTTCAAACACCTATACATTCATGAATTTTCATCGCAACAAAGAAGCTCGACAGAAAAAACTTGCTATTGCAGAGCAAAATTACATTCTACTTTTTTATTCTTAGACAAAACTTCTCAATATTGCTATCAGATTATGAGATGTGTGTTTACTGTAAGGAAAATATTTTCTTCAGAATAAATAACGATAATTATTATTTTTAGATATCTTATTTTTTTCTACTTATCACAATTTATTTTAAAATTTGAATTTTCTCGAAATGATTACATACGTCAATTATATTTAACTGGCACGGCATTTAATATCAATAATAATCATATTTAAAGATATCCTACTTTGTTTATTTTTCAATAAAATTATTTCATGATATGAATTTCTCAAAATTATTGTAAACGTCAATCTGCATTAGCTATTGTTGATGGAAACT